TATTTAAAAAAAAAATAAGAACAGTAATTTGAAAAAAATGTTCATTGCAGCATTATTTACAACAGCCAAGGCCTGGAAACAACCTAAGTGTCCACCATAAATGGATGGATCACTATATGTATAAGTGCTCTATATACAATGAAATGTTATTCAGCCATAAAAAATAATAAAATCTTGCCATTGGCGACAACATGAATGGACCCTGAAGGCATTATGCTGGGTGAAATAAGTCAGACAAAGAAAGAGGAATACTATAAATAGCATAAGATCTCACTTATACGTGGAATCTAGAAGAAAAAGAAACAAAAAAATAAAAGAAAAAGAAACAAGCTCATAAATACAGAGAACAAATTGATGGGGCTGCAGGAGTTGGGGGTGTGAGGGTGGAGACAGGAATGGGGATGCAGAGTAGAGAAGGGGTGTGGGGTAGGGGTCGTGAAATAGGTGAAGGAGTCAAACGGTACAAACTTCCAGGTATAAAAATAAATAAATCCTGGGCATATAATGTACATGGTGACTACAGCTGACAATACTTAAAAGTAGTTGCAAAGACTAGACCTTAAGTCCTCACCAAAACAAGAAAAGAAATTGCTTCCTTTGGGCGGGAACCATGATCTTCCAGTAATTCACCAAAATGACTAACACAAAGGGCAGGAGGAGAGGCACCTGCTATACGTTCCCTAGGCCTTTTAGAGAACATGGAGCTGTTCCTCTGGCCACATACATGCGTATCTATAAGAAAGGTGATATTGTAGACATCAAGGGAATAGGCACTCTTCCAAAAGCAAATCCCCACAAATGTTGCCGTGGCAAAACTGGAAGAGTCTACAGGGCCACCCAGCATGCAGTAGGCATTATTGTGAACAAGTTAAAGGCAAGATTCTTTTCTTTTTTCCCTTTTAAATTTAATTTATTGGGGTGACACTGGTTAAAAGTATACAGGTTTCAGGCACAAGATTTTACAACACACCATCTGTACACTGTGTTTTGTGTTGACCAACCCAAGTCAAGTCTCGTCCATCACCACTTATCCCTGCTATACCCGCCTCCACCCTCCCTCCCACTCCAGCAAGCACCACATTGTTGTCCGTGTAAGGGCAAGATTCTTGCCAAGAAAATTAATGTACGTATTGAGCATATTAAGCACTCTAAGAGCTGAGGTAGCTTTCTGAACCGGGTGAAGGAAAATGATCAGAAAAAGAAGGAAGCCACAGAGAAAGGCTCCTGGGTTCCACAGAAGCACCTGCCTGCTCCACTCAGAGGAGCACAGGTGCGAGAAGCAATGGAAAGGAGCCCGAGCTGCTGGAACCCATTCCCTATGAATCCATGGCATGATAGGTGTAAATAAAATAAAAGACCTCTGTATTGATTTTTTTTTTTTTTAATATGGAACGCTTCATGAATTTGCGTGTCATCCTTGCGCAGGGGCCATGCTAATCTTCTCTGTATGTTTCCAATTTTAGTATATGTGCTGCGGAAGCGAGCACTGTATTGATTCTTTAAAAAGAAAGAAAAAAATAATAACTATGTGTGGTGATGAAGTTAACGGAATTTATGTGATCATTTCACAATATATACAAATGTTAAATCATTATGTTGTACGCATTAAACGAATGTTATATGTCAATTGTACCACCATAAGAAATGTTTTAATACCCTCAATATAAAACCAAAAGAGGTTTTATTAGCTTCAGAGGACAAAAAGTGCAATACAGCACCGAACCAAGCAGCAGTTGCAGCAAGATCTTTAGGCGGTTTCAAAGCATTTCCACCCAATGACCGGGTGCCTTAGTTATAAAAATTGAAGGAAGACAACATTTACTCATAATCCCCAAACCCATCCCTCTCCGCACTCACAAGAAGGCGCTTACATTAGGATTCCAGGTTCCAAACCCAGGCTCCACCGCACGCTGTCATCTTAGACGAGTTACGGGGTCTACGCCTTAGTTCATAGTTAATGGCATAACAGCACTTACCTCTTGGGCTGTGTGAACATTAAATGAAACCTTGTAGCACAGTGGTTCTCAACCTTGGCTGCACATTAGAATCACCTGGGGGTCTTTTTTAAATCCTGATTTCTGGGCCTCATCCTCCGGAAATTCTGTGTCTTTGTTACTAACGTGGTGGTCCCACCCCATAACAAAGACACAGAATTTCCGGAGGATGAGGCCCAGAAATCAGGATTTTAAGAAGATTCCCAGGTGATTCTAATGTGCAGCCAAGGTTCAGAACCACTGTTGTAGTCTGTGGCTCAGTGTTTGGGGCATAGCAGGCGCTCAAACGCCACCTGCTATCGTAAACCTGCAAGCTTCCAATTTCCTCCTCGGTTCACTGGTCTTACCTGAGACGCTGCGCTAAGACCCTGGGGCTAAAGGCGGTAAAGTAGCGCTGCCTCCAGCTGATGGTGGTGCGGGGCGGGTGGGAGCGGGGTGGCTGGGACGTCATTAAATGGTTCTCTAAGCAGTGTCACAGGAGCAACAGTGCTTAGGGTAACGTCCACTTACCTAGGTAACCTTTTCCTAAAAATATGACTACTCTTCACGAGTCCTGAGCTTCGCCAAACCAGTGGAGGTACTCGGCACTTACAGGTTCCCAGCCACTTCTTGAACTCGAGTCACGCCCTCTGCGCAGGCGCCTCCAGTGGGTCGTCCCGGGCGGCCCCAGCCCCGCCT